TCATAACCATATAGTCACAGATTGTTCCCATTGAGCGTATAGAGTTCAGTAAGAATCCCAGTAGTGAAGGGAGCTCCATGCAGGAGAAGGGACAAGGATGGCCCAAGGGAATCCAGCAAGTTGTTGTTGTCTTTTTATATACTAAAAGATATGTACAGAATTTGCAACCTTTTTTTTTTTTTTTTTTTTTTATAGAAGATGAGATTATGTCTTCAAATAACTTTTACTGAAAATTGGGGAAACATTCTATATGCATACACACAACACTGATTGATAAGATTTGAAGCAGAAAATGTAAAGCATTTTATTACATGATTTTTCCTGTTATATTTTTTTATGTATTGACTATATGGTTACATAATAGTTTTGTGTACAAGAATGTCTTTGTGTAAAGCACAGACATGATGAGTATTCTAGATTTTGTAAAGAAATAAAGTTTTAACAGTAGAAGGACTGCTATAGGAATCTTCTTAGGTTGGCAGTCGGGAGGAATCTCTATCTTTCTGATGATTAAAACATAAGTGAACTGATCATATCCTTACATTTTGATATTTATACACTTTTTCAACAGTGTGTCCTTTAACCCAATGGTGCCGGGGAAAATTAACAAAAAATGGGGAAAATATTGTGCCCACTTTCTATGTTTTTCTTGAAATGTCTGCCGATAGATGGCTCTGCTAGCGCCTGATTTAAATGGCGGGAAAAACATATTTTTCTCTAGTGCTCTGAAAATCGATGGTGTTATTTTTACCATAAACATTATAATTTTTATAATTTATTTTTAACATTAGTAACAGCAAAATAAGATTACGTAAAATATTTTGTAAATCAAAGAAACGGGTAAATGGGCGAGACGGGCGGTGCTCGTAACTGGCTCATTGGGGAGTTAGTACAAGTGTTGCCATCTATGCGTAAAAACAATCAAACAAGTACTCACGGTGGGCATAGCACGTATGTACACGTCATACCCGGCACCAAGGGGTTAAGGGGGACAAGTGAAAAAAAAATTTTGGGTTGTTACCCTGACATCTATACCAAGAATCAGGGACACCATGTATGTCTACATCATTTCTTGACCCCAAAAATGACCTTTGACCCTTTGATTTTCACTTTCACCTCTTTATTCCCCCACCCATCCCAATGTCTACACCTATACAAATATTCTACATACAGGAACTATTGTGGTATGAAGATCTTGTTCAAATTGTTAAATATACAATGAAAAATCTGAGTGAATTTCACATGTTTGCAGAATATGAATTTTCTAGATATTAACGCGGTGCTCGTAACTGGCTCATTGGGGAGTTAGTACAAGTGTTGCCATCCTATGCGTAAAAACAATCAAACAAGTACTCACGGTGGGCATAGCACGTATGTACACGTCATACCCGGCACCAAGGGGTTAAGGGGGGCAAGTGAAAAAAAAATATTGGGTTGTTACCCTGACATCTATACCAAGAATCAGGGACACCATGTAGGTCTACATCAATTCCAGACCCCCAAAAACGATCTTTGACCCTTTGATTTTCACTTTCACCTCTTTATTCCCCCACCCATCCCAATGTCTACACCTATACAAATATTTCTACATACAGGAACTATT